GCAGGGGGGCGCTGGACGTGTGTTGCCCCGCTCCCCACCCACAGACAAGGCAAGACCCCCAGTGTTTCTTAACCCGTGGGTCGCCACCCAAAAGTGGGTGGAAAGGGTATAGGAAAGGGGTGCAAACAAACTTTAAAAATGGATCAACAAACTTTAAATATGGGCTCTGCTTTAAAGTAGGGAAACTGCGGCTTTTCCCTTGCAGGCTGGCAGAGCTCCAGCCTGCCCGGGGCTGCTTGGGGGACCCCCATGCCTCACATACACCCACCCGCTGTGGCATATACATGGGAGCAGGGGTGAGGGGCACTGGGTTGGGACTGGCCATGGTTGTCTACAAATGGGTCCTGGTACAAAAAAGGTTGAGAACCACTGCTTTAAACCTTTTCTGGCAGCAGCAGGCTTTGACCCCTCTCTCTGCTCCAGCACTCAGATGCAGCCACATGAACTCCATCCCAGCTCACTCCCTCCTTGGTTAAGAAAAACAAAATGGAAATACCCACTGCCAAGTCTACCTCCTCCTCGGAGAGTTATTCCCCATAGCAGGACTGATACAGGGTATCTTGCTGGAGGGCCAACTGGTAGTGCTACTCTTTAGTTCAGTGGGTGTCAACCTTTTTTGTACCAGGACCCATTTGTAAACATCAGTGGCTGCTGCCTCCTGACCTAGTGAATAGTTCAAATAGAAAAAAGCCCCCTGACCCTGCTGCTGCTGCCCCTCACTCCTAACCTGTTGCCCCCTGCCCCCACCAATGGGGCAGGGGGTGGGTGTGTGGAGAATGGGGGCCCCAAGCAGCACCTTGCAAGGGAAAAGCCATGGTTTCCCACATTTTTCACCTTTAAAGGAGAGTCCATTTTTAAAGTTTGTTCATGATCCTTTCATATATTCTTGTGATCCACTTTTGGGTCGCAACCCATGGGTTGAGAAACGCTGCTTTAGTTCACACTGATAAACACATCCTGAAGTTGCATAGATGGTATGGTAGTGACACCAGAGCTGTGAAATACAGTGTTTGACTTGGCTGGGAGCCTTTGGTTTTCTGAAATATGGTTGGCAAGTCTGTGAAAGCAGTCACTTTTGATAATCTTTTATCTTAAAGCAGTTGGTCACAAGTTGCAGCAGGGGGAGTTGAGGTTAGATAGGAGGGTAGTATGAGAACAGGCTACCCAGAAAGGTGGTGGAATCTCCTTCCCTGGAGGTTTTTAAGACTGGGAGACAAAGGCTTGGCTGGGGTGATCTAGAAGAGGCTGGTCGTGCTTTCACCAGGGGATTGGACTAGATGACCTCCATAGGTCCCTGCCAACCCTAATTTTCTTTGATTCCATAATTGCTCTAAAAAAAGAAAGTTTTCATTTTTTTTGATACAACACACCAAAGATAGGTTGTGCATTAAACCCATTGCCTTTTGTTTTGTAAATCTTTCAACATATGTGCTTTTGTAAAATGATTATACTTATTTTGCTTTCCTTTTTTTTAACTCACTGATGGGGTTTCTCATGTCTTATTACATCTTTCATCAGCTAATTCAGAAAGGGAGGGTAGGTAGCTGAGCTGAAGTGAGCATTCACTTAAAACACAGTTCAACCTCTGTGATTTTCCTGAGGCTCAGACTAACAGATTGATAGGTAAAGCTAAATTTTAAATGATACACTGATACATTGATGCAGTGGATACATTGATGCAACACAGTGCAGAACCATGTAGACACAGCTGAGCTAGCTTGTTTTCTGAGAACTGGGATATATTAGCAGAGGTGGGGTGTTGCATGAGTGTAGTCATAGACAGGTCAGGTATCTATAGAGCTCTGCATCTCCTGTGAAGACATTCTTAAGTGCCTCCTTTTTATTTTTTATTTTAAATGATCTCAGTGGAATTATAGAGAAAGTTTGAAGGGTCTATAACTCAGTGAAATCTTAAACACAGGCTATATATGAGGAAGTTAACTTGTAAGCAAATTAGGCTTTTTCTAATCAGTAATAACAGATTACAGATGGGCCAGTGGAATAGTTTGGGTCACTTAACCAGATGCCATGACTCAATACTACAATACTCAAAACTCAAGCATTCGCCTATTGTGTAATTTATGTGCCACAATACTGCTTGCTGCCATAAGACAGTGGTATGAGAGACATATGCATTAGGAAGAGTCCTCACTGCCAGATAATTTGGTTGTTGTTGTCACTGCTTCTTAATAGTTCTGTGGTCTCACTCTGGTGTACAACTTGAAAGAAGTCTCATAGCTGCCTTGACTGTATCACATATTTTGACAGCACTACTGGGGAAGCCATCCCTACGCATACCCTTATGTCTCCTTGGCTCCCACAGTGTTGGGTTGCAGAAAGAGGTATGCTGAAGAGGAAGGTTAAGCCCTAATTCACTGTTATCTGTATCATTTCTGCCATTGATACTTTCTTGGTATGTAGTGGGCCTGAGGCAGTGCCCTAGGAATTAAAGCATGTGTAATGCCATAAGGAGGGGACATTTGTGGCAGAGGTAAACTAAAAATTAGTTAAGTGGGATTTAGGGCTGTAAACATCAAAGTGCATTGATCAGAATTGTATGGCAGTTGCAGGGCAGATTTCAAATTCTTTGGGTACTTTCCCTAGCAGAATATGCCTGGGTTTCTTTTAGGTTTAATCTGAACTCTGAATATTCTGGATTTGCATTGCTTGGAGTAATTGCAGCATCCCTGTACTGTTTCTTTCCATTAAATTACTGACATTTAATCTCAGGCTTCACTCCATTTAATGTACCTGTATTTATGTCTGAGAATATATAACTTTAGAGGGTGGCATATTTGTCTTATTCATCAAGGGCACTGTTTGTACTAAGAAAACTCAGTAAATTTACTGACAAATTTACCATAGCATCAAGTAACAAAGGTTCCTAAAATGAAGTTTGGTTTGTCATGTAAGTAACTTCCAAGTGACAGGTTACATATGGTCACTTTTTAGAGAGCACCATAAAACTGCAAATGGGACAAGTCTGGTATAGTGCTTATAATGGAATATTACATTTACCCATATTTAAATAAGGCAGTTTTAAGTCGCTCAAAAACATATGCCTCTGATCTATAGCAGATAAAGACTGATACAGAGCATGTTCTGCTTATCACTGGTTACATATTCTCTAGAAATACTTTGAATGTCTGAACCAAAGCACTTAACTAAGTAAATTGGAGAAGTTTAACTTTCCTCTTGTTTAAAGTACCTTTAATAGGTTAATTTTGATAAATCCCAGAAACTCATAGTAACCTACAGCATTAAGGAAACTTAAAAGGATACTGATAAATGAATCCTCTACATTGAATATAAGTAGTACTGTATCACCCACTTCAGAGTCTTTTGAAATTTTGTGATTTTTTTTTTTTTGTAGATTATTAATGAAAAAACGTAGTAGTAGTAGTAGTCTATCTTTTTGTTGTGGTTGAAGATCCAGGTGGAAAACTGACTACAATCGAAATTTTGCCTAATCTATGAAGCGGGGGAAGGAAGGTGGGAGGGGAATGCTAAGTCTGGCTTGTAAGATAATAGACAAAAATATGCAAACAGATGATTTTTACTTCTTAAATTAGTACCTATAAGTTTTAAGTATCTTAAGTCTTTGGATCTATGAAAATCTATACCTTTTTAGAGAATTTGCCTAGAGTTGGTAAGTGCCCAGTGACTGCAAGGATACACCCTTGCAAACTCTGGTGTGAGGCAGTACTCTTGAAACAACAGGTTGGATACTACATGCATAGTGTTTTTAAGATTTAAGTTTCTGCATAGATGACAGGTGAGAGAGAACAAACTCATGGTTCTCAACTGTGCTTCACAGAACTCTTGGTGATTGTTAATGAAATGAACCATATTGAAAATGAAGCATTGGAATATTAGAAAGGACATTGATTTGATTTTGCCTTTCTGAAGTGTTTTACAAAATGAACAAGTTAAGATATAATTTTGATGTTGAAATAACTATAGAGCTGAAGTTAAAGAAATGCAGTCCTAGTATATCTTCTTAATATCCTGGAACTTTTTTTCTTCCTATGTGTTCTCTAGCACTTTGGTCACTTTTAAGTTATTGGAATAAT